CGTCTATTAGGGACCCTGCTTTTATTGGAAGTTTTACAGTAATCATTAATCACACCGTTCAGGATGACTGCTTTTTAAAACATTGCGCTGATTATCTTTACCTTTGAAATGCGATGGAAGGGTTTGTCTTCAGAGGAGGTGGGAAGAGGCGGCGCCAGAGGCTGATGATCGTCAGGTCCTGAAAAATAACAGAATACTGAGGTTGTCCTGCCTTCTGAAGGTATGGGATTTTGGATTACCAATTTAGCACGACAACAGTCTAAGAAATCCTTTCTTAGTTTCTAAATGAGCTCTTATGTAGGTTCCTCGGACAGTCACATCGTGCCATCTGTTTCCTGATCTTGAATGCTCTGTTCTTATGTACAAATGTCATCTGATTTGCAGTCTGTCACCAGGAGGAAAATGTAGTGAATGTAGTATTATACAGTACAAAACACAACAAACTAGCATACATACAAGCATCAGTGTACAGCAGCAGAAAGGGAACCAAAGGCTTAAAGTTCCCCAAAAGTACTTAATCTCCAGCTTTCTATCGGTGCGATACTCTAACAGAGATATGTCTGGATAAAGTTCTGGTTCACATCGTAACATCTACTCACAGGTCTTCGAGTCTGAGCTGATATTTGTCTGGACTGGAGCTGGCCCCTTGCCGCAATGGATTAGCTTGCTTGTCTCTGGGATCCTGTTTGCAATTCCGACTGATTTTACTTTCCTTATACATTAAACCAAGTCAGCTTGGTCACAGGTTAGAGACCAGAGGAATAACAGCTCCTTTGCTCCATACTGAATTCCAATGCAAAAATAAAACATATCGTATAAAGCTGAAGCACATACCCAAACAAAAAAGGTCACATGTGGCTAGAAATTATGGTGTCGCACAACCTTTTCCAGCAATGCCAGTTGTACTGCTAATGAAAAGACAAGTGGAAAGTTGAAGATCTTGCTGATTGTCATTCTAGCACAAAGTCAAGGAAGGGACCATGCTCCTTTATCTGGTTTTCTGAGGTTAAACATTTCTAATCTAAAGAAGTCTGATACCATTGTTTCCTTCCTAATACCAATTTCGAGTACAGATGTTTGTTATAAAATATATATATATTATTATTTCTTAACAAGCATATACTACTAAGACTGTATGGTTGCTATCATTGCTGTATGGCCTGCCTTGGGTGAAACCCTTTGTCAGAGTCAGAATAGGCCGGGTCATGACTTCGCTATCCTGGGGAAAAAAGCAAAGACAAGCGGGACACTGGCTGGGAAGTAGCAAGGTCTCATATCAGATCAGTGGGAATCGAGGTTCCAAATTGTCCAATCCGTAGACCTCCAAGCTTATCAGTTCCTTTTACCAATGCCAGCATGTTTTTCTCACAGTTGCACATTGCAAAACAATGACGTCAAACTCATGAGTCTACTCTGCTGGAATAGTTGCAACACGGAGCCATGGCAGAGAGGAGGAAACAGAAGAAAGCCTGGCTTCATCTCACAAAGAAACTCTACCTACCATACCTCTACCCTGTGTTACACACTGAGTTCAGACTCTGAGATAATAATACAGTTGCGTCGACAATGAAAACCTGTTTTTGTTTCCATATGGAAAATTTATCAATCAATACCCAATACCCAATTTTAGGCAGTATCGGAGGAATATTCATTACTTGTATTGATATTGGACCAACTCTGATCAGCTTAGACACACCTTGGCAATCACCAAGAGTCAACAATTTGTTTTCTGCAACTTTCAGGAATATTTTTCATCTATTTGGCAGCCATGGCTCTTTAAGGCCCAAATTTGCACATACACATATCTTTTTATAACATATAAATCTACATCCGGGCCAGGTGTGTTGCTTTGCAAAAGGCACAATTGTTATGCTCAACTGCCCCACTGTAGTAAGAGCTCAGCAGCCGGGTTGTGTGGATAGAGAACTACCTGTGAGGCTGGATACACTTGAGGGACATTAGAACGCAGCCTTTTTGTTTAACTGACACACATCCAGTCTGTTCCACACCAGGAACACAACTCTGACAAACTTTCCCTCCAGTGTAACCCTGATTAAGGCCATACGGTGCACTGACACGTGATATTGCCTGTTTGATGTTGAGGTCCACATTAGTGCAGGAGCCATTAAAGGACAGTGGTGTGTGTGTGTGGGTGTGTGTGTGTGCGTGCGTGTGTGCGTGCGTGTGCGCTCAGTTATGACAGCAGAGCTGCAGAAGTTAGAGCAGTGTGGACACTTGAAGCTATCGTCTGCACTCATATCGATCAGCTCATCAATAAGCATATGACTGACAGTCTGTCTGTCTGTCTGTATGATGTATGTGGGTCTGTCAGGATGTTTTCTGCCACGCAGCAGCCCTGCCTCCTGCCTCCTGCCTCCTGCATCTGTTTACCTTCGGGTGGCCTAAAATGAACGGCGTGCATTTCCTCCCGCTGACTCCGTCTCCTCATCTTCCTCTCGTAGCTCCGCATCTTCACGTCCATTTCTCGCACTTTCTGCCGCAGGACGTCGTTCTCCTTCTCGCTCTTCTGCCGCTCCTGCTCCATCTGGGAGCGCAGCGCCGCGTAGCCATCGTCCACCAGCTTGCAGATCTCCGCCACCGCCGAATTAGCCAATATCTCTATAATCGAGGCGATTTGCGTTTGAAAGCCAACACAGTCCGCCATCATCGCCAGGTCTGTCTGTCGGTTCCTGCGCGGACAGATGCGCGCGGCGGACGGCTGCGGCTGCTGCGGCGCGCGGGCGTGAGCGGATCCACACACCGATGTGTGTGCGGTGACATGCAACAAGCTCCAGGTGTCTAACGCACACAGTCTGCCCTCTCTGATGTGCTCAATAATGTTTTGGCTCCTTGAGGTGCGAGAGTCGCCTTCTGATGACGTCAGTTTGTTGTTCAGCATCAGTTCACAGGCAGCAGACAGACAGGAGGCTGTACACTCCTCCGATGAAGTGGATCCAGACAGTAGTTCAACATTAAACGGGTCACACACCAGGAACCCAGATCCAGAAACACAGTAAACCTGCTGCTGTAGTGTTTAGTTTTGGAATAATATTGGCCAATGTGATGGGAGAAAAGGATTCTGTAAGTCATTCTAATGAGAAAATATTGACAAAGTTTCTCAATATTTTGGGATGCTAAGTCATTATTTTGAGATAGTAAGTATTTAGAGAATCTTTCCCCTGTCACATTAGTGGGAATGGGCCTCCATCGTATACTGTTTATTGGTATAGACACTGCCAATTCCCTACAGATGTTTCAAAGTCTCCATGACAACGTAGTACACGTGTTATCCTGTTGATTCGGTTTCTAAGGTACCCCCAGACTTGTATTAAGACTAGAGCTTTTAAGGGGACCTAAAAATCAGGCCCCACCTGAAGCCGAAGAAATTCTGTGCAAGGCTGAACCATGGAAGCAGTTTGGAATTTCTCCTTAAAATAAATCATTTAAATAGCTAAAGTAAACTACATTGTGCATATTACAGTGCAAAACAAATAAATAACAAATTCATTCATTCCAGTTGCATGCATTATTAATTAAATATATGGAACAATAATGTGTCTCATTTGTTCTTCCCCCACATAAAAGTAGAATTTCCTAATTAAAATCCTTAAAAAGTCATTTACTCGGTGTACCTCGAAATCCCACAATCTCTGAATATGCAAATGTTCATTTCTAAAGTTTTCCTGCTGGACACAAGATGTCTCCTACTTCACTGT